AAAGCACTAAAATGAGCATAATGCCAAAACATAATTTAAGCCGGTTTCCAGAAGAATTTAAGGACATGTGAAGAACAGATTTGCATTTTTACCCTCAAATGACTATGAAACAGAAGAATTGTAGACTGTAAATCAAAGATATTTGCAAGAGGAAATGAAAAAATATTATTCCTGAGTCAACAGAAAAGCCTCAATGAATAACAAATGAAATACTGTACTAAAAATTGTTAATGATAGATGAAAAGTAAAAGTAAAACACAGAATAGAAAGTTGGAGGAATGGGGTAAAATAATATAATACAAATAAACAATTTAAAATACATAATTCAAATAAAAACAAAAAATTATAATAAAACTACATAGAATCAACAGAAAAAAATGTAGGTTTTTAAATGAGATCTTAACATACGAAGTGATGGAAATAGTCCACAAATATTCAGGAAGATGCTTGCAAGCATACAGAGCTGTGATGGAGAAAGGACAAAGGAATGATAAAAATCCTCCTCTACGTGAGAAACAGAACCGAGGGCCTACAGTGGGAAACTCGGGTCAACAGATAGGAAGATTATAAAGAGTCTTAAAAGTGAGTATGAAAAGTTTACACTGAATCCTGGAATGGAAAAAAAAAGCCAGCAAAGAGACTTCAAAAGGAGGGTAACATGATCCAAATAATGGACCAAAAAAATCTTCACTTCCAAGGTCAGATTATAAGCAAGAAATTAATATTGTGGAAGAAAAAAGTTACAGCAATCTAAAACAAGAAATAACCAAGACATGAGCTAAGGTCTTAGCAGAAGAAATAGAAAGAGATGAATTTTAACCAAGTTGCCTATCTTTGCATAGGCAAAGATAGAATCAAAAATAGAATCAGGGCTGTGTGCACAGAATGGATAATAGCATTGCCAATGGTTTTTCGGGAGGAAAAACAGGCAATTGAGTCTTAGTGAGATTAAGTTTCAGATAACGGTGAAGCATCCAAATTGAAACACTGGACAAATAATCTGAAGTACAAATTTGAATATTAGAAGATCGATCACAGGCTGAAGGATACTGCTGAGTGTTACTGGTGTACAAACAACACTGAAATCCCTGGGACCCAAATTATACAAGGAGAAAATAGCAAAAGAGGCAGAAGAAAGCCTTAGGGGACCCCAATTGTCTCCCATAGGTAGCTGAAGGAATGGACGAACAAATACAAGCAAATCATTTTAGGAGAGCCCAAAATCTTCGGAAGGCAAAATATTATGAACTACTGACATAGAGTTTACATTCTAGATATGCTACAAATTACTATTTACTTGCTACTAGAGATGGTACTAGATACACCCCCACAGCTGGAGATTAGCTACTCTTCAACCTGGCAGGCTCGCCATCCCACCTCCAGCCAGGAGTGGCTAGTCCACCACGAGCTCTGGAGCAATAGGAAGGGAACATGGAGCCTGTAGCAGCGGCAGAATGGTGAGTGGACGGTCTGGCCCCCGGGAGCCGGACACTCATCTCTACTTGCTACATGTTTGTACAGTCCTTGCTTTAAGGCCCTGGAGTAGCATTAAAGTACAGTGGTGCCTCGCTTAACGGGTTCTCCGTTTAACGAACAATCCACATACCGACGAAGATTTTGCGATCGCAAAACGATGTTTTCAATGGGGGAAAATCGCTTTGCGATTTTCCCCCTACGCCCCATTTTCGCGCAGCTAATAGGCGGGGCTTCGAGTGTATGGGGGGAAGGGATTCCCCTCCCCATCCTCCGGAGCTGTGCTGAAATGCCGGCTTCAGCGTCAGCTTCAGGAGGGGAGGGGGAAGGGATTCCCCCCTCGGGAGCTGGGCTGAAATGCCGGCTTCAGCGTCAGCTTCAGGAGGGGAGGGGGAAGGGATTCCCCCCTCGGGAGCTGGGCTGAAATGCCGGCTTCAGCGTCAGCTTCAGGAGGGGAGGGGGAAGGGATTCCCCCCTCGGGAGCTGGGCTGAAATGCCGGCTTCAGCGTCAGCTTCAGGAGGGGAGGGGGAAGGGATTCCCCCCTCGGGAGCTGGGCTGAAATGCCGGCTTCAGCGTCAGCTTCAGGAGGGGAGGGGGAAGGGATTCCCCCCTCGGGAGCTGGGCTGAAATGCCGGCTTCAGCGTCAGCTTCAGGAGGGGAGGGGGAAGGGATTCCCCCCTCGGGAGCTGGGCTGAAATGCCGGCTTCAGCGTCAGCTTCAGGAGGGGAGGGGGAAGGGATTCCCCCCTCGGGAGCTGGGCTGAAATGCCGGCTTCAGCGTCAGCTTCAGGAGGGGAGGGGGAAGGGATTCCCCCCTCGGGAGCTGGGCTGAAATGCAGACAGGGGTGAGGGGTGCTTCAGAGAGAGCCGGGAGGAGGGCAAGGCTCGGGTGTTCTGGCAGCCTTCCTCCCGAGCCCTCACTCGCCCGCTGCCCAAGGACGCCTGGTGTCTCCCGGGCTGGCTAGCTGGCTGGTTGGCAGTGCTTTGCTACGATTGGTTCCCTGCTTGGGGAACTGATCATAGCAAAGCAATGCTTTTTTAACAGCTGATGGGTGGTTCCAAAATGGCCGCCTGCTTTCTGGACGTATTCCTCGCTTACCGAGGCGGCGAAAATGGCCGCCCCTATGGAGGATCTTCGCTGAACGGTGAGTTTTTGCCCCATAGGAACGCATTAAACAGGATTTAATGCGTTTCTATGGGTTTTTTTGTTCCGTTTAGCGACGATTTCACATAGCGACGTTAATCCTGGAACGGATTAACATCGCTATGCGGGGCACCACTGTATCACAATAGCTTTGTGAAAATAACCTGTTGAAAAAGAGTGTGAAGGCCATGTGAGGCCAGCCTATGAACTCTCTGGCAAAGTGAGCAATTACCATTTCCCACTTGTTCACTGATGCTACAACCCTATACACTTAGTGACAAATTCCACATAAATCAGTTGGACTTTCATCCAAATAGATATGCACTAGGACTGGGCTCACTCTATGACTCCATCTGAAGTTCTAGGTTATCTGAAGAAGTCATTCTGATTATTTGAATATGACATTTAGAATTAAACCCAATTATTTCTAAATTATTTGGTTGAGCCTGTTTGATTAACCTCTTTGGTTAAAGATTAACATTTTCATCTATCCCTTAAAGCATAGAGTTATGGTAAGTGTGTAACACAGACGTGTGTGCACACATCCACCCACTAGTAAAGCTGTAAGGGGAGGATAACTGTTAGTAATACATGGTATATAATTTGCTAGCAATATACTATTAAGTTGAATTTCTAATGGAGAAATACTGCAATATATTTAAGAGCAGTTCTCACATAACAATTGAGAAGTCAGTAACAGGGTACCTAATTGTGGGAATACACAGAAGTCACAACAAAGAAATGTAATTTTCTTTTCCAGCACTGGTTATCATTTCTAGGAACTACTGATTATCTGCTACAGTGATTTCAGATAAGTGGAGGAAGAGTGGCTGCTATGTGTCCTGAAACAGAAAAAGAATTGATTCCTGCCTTTGCTTGCCATATGCATGTTTGCATACAGTCCTTATTTCTTCTTTATTTGTACCACAAGCACCACAGTACAATAGAATGCAATATAATCACTCCTTTTGAGATAACACTGTTGAAATGAAGTAAATCAGGGATAAATTGGGAGCTCCATTTTAAAAAAAAAGCATTGTGCTTCATTCAGTTCTGGTAGCCAAAACCAAACTCTGGGCTCAGAATTCCTTCATTCCAAACACATGTCTTCTATTCTGTGAATCCTGGATCTCCAATAAATTATTAAAATGCTGTTTATTATGTATAATTAGTAACACATGACAAGGGCAGTAATTTTCAAAAAGGCAGTTCCTGCAAAGCCAAAAGTCTACTTATACTCTTGGCTTAAATGGTGTGCATGAATGGACAGATTAACTCTCTGCGCTATCCAAAAAACAGTGTTCTGTCCCAGAATTCCAAATGATTGGGTACAGAACATAAAACATTGGGAAGCAACATTTGGTGGGTTTTCTCAGCCTTTCCCACCCATCCAATGTTTGGTGAAGTCCCATAACTTCAACAGCATAAGCTTACATGGAAGGTTGTTTACTTCTGTAGATATGAATCTATTTTTTTAAAAAAAAAGATCCCAAAGGCTGAGCTGTTTGCTTACATGCATCTCTAACCTGGCAGTCAAAAGCAAACCAAGTGTAGGGCTCTGGATTTTGATTATATATATAGGTATAATAGGTATTTTTATATATATTGTTGCTAGCCAACTTCCAGAAAGGTGTGACTTGGCCAGAATACTGGTCTTTACCAGGAGGCACCTCTTCATATATTTGTAATCCACATCTAGCAAAAATAAATTCCTTTTCGACAGGATAACTATTACATTCTGTTAACCACAAATACACACTGAAATTTTCTACTCAGATGTCAGTTCAGTCAGACACACATTTGCTCAGAAGCTGCACCACATGAGTTTAGGGGGATTTACTCCTACATAAACGGTTAAGGACTGACATTTTGGGCTGCTATAAATACCTGCTTTAGAGTCAAATGCGTACTAAGCAACCGCATTCGTTTCAGGGGGCTTTCTACCGACTAGGCATGTACAGGGTTATCCTATAAGAGTAAAATAAAGTGGCTGAAGGCTGCAACCCTGGACTGACTTACCTGAGAGTAAGCCCCCCTAAAGTGAACGGGCTGCACATGATAAACAGGGCGGCGCTCAGAGGTATATTAAAGTACGTATTAAGTACTATATAATGGCACTCAAGGAGAGCATAGGCGTCCTGTGACAGGAGCCACTCCAGCGCGCCTTTCCCTTTCTCCCCTCACCAAGCACCGCCTCTGACAACCCCACTGCCTCGTAATTCTCAAACTCTCCCTGCTAGAAGCGGAGGGTAGGACAGACCAGAGACGCGGCGCAGAGCACGACGGGCCGGTCAGAAAACTCTAGAAGCAAGAAGGGAAAAAAGAGAAGCGGTCGCCCGGCTCTCTCTCTCTCTCTCTCTTTCTCTTTCTCTTTCTCTCTCACCTCCTACCAGCGCAGCGGCCGAGAGCCCCACGAGGCAGCCGAACTTCAGCAGCCAGGAAAGCTCCGGGCGCATGGAGGGCGACGCCGGGGCGAAGAAAGTGAAGCGGCGGAGGAAGAAGTCGCCCCGCAGAAGATGACGGCTTCGCCCAAAAAAAAGCGCCGCCCGCCCCCACAGTTGAGCCCAGTGACAGGCCCGGCCGCCTCTCCAGGAGGCATGACGGGAAATTCCTGGGGCACCAGCTGCTGCCCGGGCAGCTCCAAATATGAACATGGAGAGAAGCGCAGGAGATCCAGGGTCAGGCAAGTTGCCTCCTCCTCGCCCCGTTCCAGAGTCGGGCGGGCCTCCGCAGGGCCGGAACCATTCCCAGAAGCGGGAGGGCCGGAGAGAGGACGGCTCGCGTTTCCCTGGGTTTCGGCGTCCGCTTGCTCTGCGTAAAGGCAGGCCCTCTTTTCTCAAAAGTTTTCAGGGCGGAGAGCCAGATTTTATCATGCTTCGAGGACACATCCACTGAAATCCGTGGGACTAAGGGTGGTTGTGATCAGTTTTTATGCATTCTATTGATTTCAGACGATTTGTCATACCTGCATTTAAACCACGAATTTCGGACATTTTGTGGGTATTCGTCCTGTTTCAGTAGGATTTTTTGGGGAGTTGTTGCTTCGATGAAACCTCCCAGTATCGTAAGATAACTTGTGCGCTTTGTGTTAGATGCCCTAGTTAGACCAAAAAGGCATTCTAGCACCTTAAACTGGTATATTTTAATATACAGTAGTAGTCTTTAAATAAGATAACTTGTGTGCTTTGTGTTAGATGCCCTAGTTAGACGGGGAGCGAGTTTCAGAGTTGTGTTAGAATTCCATGAAAAATTATAAGGTTATTGTGTTAATCTGTGACTGCGTGCCATTTTTTCAACAGGAAACATGCACCAAAAAGGCATTCTAGCACCTTAAAGACTAACTGCTATATTTTAATATACAGTAGTAGTCTTTAAGGTGCCAGCTACAGCGTTGGTTTTGGGCTTTTGTTTGTTTCTTGTTTACATGCTTGCACAGACTAACACAGACAGCTATTTTGAAAACTGCTTGTAAATTGAATACTTTGTTCTTGTGGTACCTTAAAAGACAGAGCTCTTTTGGAAATATGAACTAGTGTACCATATTAGTGACTGATGCAGACTGAGTATTATGGTCAGCATGATACAATTCAAGGTTTCTCCTGTCATTTAAAAATCCAAGTGGAAGAAATACAAAGTGATGTCTACTATGCAAGTTTCATACACCTGGGTCCTTGAAAAATTCAAACTGAAAAAACTCATCTCACTCTTCAGTGTGCCCATACTGCATGTCCACTCACTCTCTCACATGCACACACCAGCTCAGCTCAGCCCAGCTCCTTCCAGGCTTAGGCAACATCTCAAATAGTGCAGAATGTTGCAACCACCAAACATCTGTAGAGGGCTGCTCTTTCTCCATCTTGCAACAGGTCAGTGTACATCAGCTGAACAGCAGTGCGGTAGTTTAATCCAGATTGTCAAACCAAGAGCAGACCTTCCAGAAATAAGGGCTCGTTAATCTTTGTCTACTTTTTCAGTAAGTATTCTCAGCATAACTAAGACTGGATCCAAGTCAAGTGTTTTAGAAAAATTGTGGGTGTGTACGGTGTTTCTTCTTCACAACCCAGTCTTCACAAGAGCTGACTAAAGATTAGGGTCTTCTGTCTGGAAGCCAGCAGGATTACTTATTGTGGAGTTTACTTTCACTCCTCAAAGCAAAGGGAGCATTCTTGTCAACTGTTCTTCTCTACTATACAAAACACTTACAAAAGATAATTTGAGGAAATTAAGTACAGTGGTGCCCTGCATAGCGACGTCACTCCGTTCCAGGATTAACATCGCTATCTGGATTCTTCGCTATCCGGGCAGGGAAAACTCCATTTAATGCGTTCCTACTAGGGAAAAACTCACCGGTAAGTGAAGAATCCTGGATCAGGCCGCCATTTTCGCTGCTTGGTAAGCGAGGGCAGGGCATGAAAATGGTGCGGGCGGCCATTTTGGAAACACCGATCAGCTGTTTCAAAAATGGCCACCAGGTGCTATGCGGATTCATCATTAAACGGCGCGCTCATTAAGCGAGGCACCACTGTACAACAGGCTAATGCGATTGCATTAGCCACCCCAAAAAATGGGTCACTATGCGGATTCGTCATTAAATGGCCCGCTCGTTAAGTGAGGCACCACTGTACTAGCATAATTGGAAATCAGATAGTCTTGCAAAATGCTCAAAAAACTGTTTTGAAATTATGCCTTTCTACATGGCAGTTCTATAGCTGATTTCTGCACTTGTTGATGGCAAGCTATTGTTAAATGTACCAGTGGTATATTGTTTGGTGTCATCCCGAGGCTTCCCTGCATCATATAATTTCCTTTTCAAAACTGGGAGTAGCTCTGAGAAGAAGCTGGAGACATGAAAAACATTGTATTACTGTGAGATACAGTGTAGATTAATGTGCTGCAACGAGCAATGAACCTTCCTCAACATTTAAAAAAAAAGATGTAAAAGCTGCCATGGTCCACACACATTCAAAGCTGAAAAAGAATTGGCACCCATGTAAAAAGCCCTAATAAATCTTTAATTAGTTTTGTTTTGCTTTGCTTTTTGTTTTTACAGGACAAATGACAAATTACAAACATCTGATTTTCTCAAATGTCCAAGGTATTATACACATTCCCATCTGTCTTGCAGGGAGGAATATTGGTCAACATTTTAAAGGTAAAATAAGCTGCAAAATAGTACAGATTACCATAATAAATGTACAGTCTTTACAAATAGTTTAGAAGCAAGAAAGATGCATCTGCATCAAAAGGCAACCTTTTAAACTGCCACAACTAAATTTTACATTCACACTTGCAACAAGTCACAAGATGGTTACTAAGATCAGGTCAATAAATCACTATGATGCACAAATACAGCAAAATCTGATTATATACATATAAATACATATACATGTATATTATACATATTTGTATATGTATAGTAAATCTCATGAAAAAAATCTACCAGATTTGACAAAAATCTACTCGCTTGTCAAAAATATGTACTTGTTTCTTGGTGAGTAGAATTTTGCATGACTGATTATATTACACATACTTGTTTGTTAGCATCCAGGACATAAAACAGATTTTTCCAGATAAGAAACTGTCCATTATTAAACATGTTGCCCACAAATAGAAAGCACAAAGTTAAGGCACAATAGGATTTTCCATTACAGAAGTGTGCATCATGTTCACTTAACCATAAGAAAACGTGCATTATTTGTGCAATATCATGCTGCAGATCCATATCTACAATAAAACTGGGCTTTAATAGATGTACTTTCAAATGATTGGTTTCCCATCTCTTCATTCATACAGTATCCAGCTGGACTGACCGTTATGCTGCTTCAGCAGGAACTTCTGTATCCAATTTTTTAATATTTTCAGTAACTCGCAGTTTTAGGTGTAAACAATGCACAAATTTTAATATTGAACATAAACAAGTCTTCATGTAAATGTACTGCATTTCCCAGCTCTCATCAATGTTTTCTTTCCACACAATGTGCATCTGTTTAGTTTTACACACATACTTAGGCACCGTATCTACAGGACAGTAAATTCCCCAGTGGTATATTATCAGAGCCTTACTTTTGTAATGAAACTTTTCACAAAGTGTTTGAGTACCTGCCAATTGCTTTTTTATTGCTCACATAAATTTGAATCCATTATCACAGTTATAATATGAATCCATTCACACAAAAATCATAACTGTGTATTTTAATATAAAACCTAAAAAAAAGATATTTAATGTATATCTAATACTTCAAGGTTGTTTGGCCTTTATGTATTGGTACAGCCAAAATATATAAAACATTAGGTTATGAATAAAATAGGAAGCTTATTTGCTGCTTTAATGCAAACATCCTCACAAAACAAGATTACTTTTGCTGCTGCTGCCGCTGCTGCCACCAACTACATTTATATACTAAACTGGTACATCTGCATTCAGTTGGTTTTCCCTCTCTAACACAAGAAGTTCTTCTCCATCTCTAGGCTGACACAGATGAAGCTTTTACAGCAACATAAACAGAAACCCAGACATGAACTAACATTTCTACTCACTTTCCATCAGAAACTGTAGGTGGTTTTGTTACAAAATACCCACAATATTATTTCACAGGAAACTATGGAAATACAGTACTTCTCCATGCTTTTAGACTGTTATCAAACACTTGTTGGTGCAAAAATACAGCCACATCTGAGAATGTTTAATAAATTCAACATATGTCATGCAAAACTTAAAAAGTGTTGGTTCAGTTGAGCTCCAAAATACTTTACATACAGAGCAACTGTTCCTTTTACTCACTATTACAGCCTCATTGCTCAGACATCCAAAAAAGTGAGGCCTCTGGAACGTTGATTAATGAAACTGTTAACATACAAAAGTAGTAAAAGTGGAAGACAGGGTCAGACAGGAAATGCTCCTGCTGCAGGTCAACAGTTCTAATAGCAATAAAATGTCTCAGGAGTTCCCCTGAGAGTTAGTTGTGCCTGTCCGGAGACGAAGATGTGACATCGAGTTCATGTGTGTACTAGATGGCTTCAATGGAATATTGCAAGAAATAGCTTGGGGAAAACGATGATGATATCGATCTAGCCGTAGATACTTTACTGTTACAAGTTTGCCTGTAGTAAATTGCAATTCAATACATTAATACTTTTTTTTAAAAAAATGCATGAATTTACACTTATACTGTACAAACTCAAATACTTTGATCGGCAATACTTTAATCTAGAAGCTAACCATATTTGCTGTTTATTCTGATGCTCCACCAACTACCGCTAGCCACCTGAATATTTTTTATAAATCAAAACTTCTTACCATCAAACCAAGACCCATGTAATGCTTTAAAAGCCTTTCCAGCATATTCTGGAGACAAACACTTGACATACACACAACCCTGAGGGGAGAAATAAAGCTTTGATTTAGCTATAACATAGACATTGAGTAGACAGAATGTTTAACTGTTGTATGTCATTTTTTACCTCTCGTGAATTTTTGTCTACTGCTATGTGAACAATTCCCTCATTATCACTGCACTTTTCCAAGATTGCTTCTTGAATTGCCAAGTGCCAGTGGTCACCTATTTCCCTAAAACACACAGAACACAAAACTAGCAGGTAAGTATAAGTTTTTAAAAATGTTAAAGCAGTTTAATGACAAAGCAATAAACATAAGTAAGCAATTCTTTAAATACCTATTTGAATTTCTGAGATATTTTTTTAAAAAACAAATTCACTATGTCAGGGGAAATGGATAACTGAAGTGTGGAGAAGTGGTGCTACCTCACAGACTGCATACCTAGAAACACATATTTCCACAAAATTTATGAGAAACAAGTTTACATTAAAATACTTGAGGATAAAAACTGTTTGCTCTGTATCTATACTGTTGAAGAATAATGAAAGGGAGTGCACCAAGGGTACCCAGGAGAGAAGAATTAACTGAATATAAACAAGGTACAATATCTTCTGAAACTACAATTAAATTCCTTGTCAGATGTGTGAAAGACACAAATCTATCATAGAGAGTCTGTAGATCAGGAGCCCTCCTGTGAGGACATTCAGATATTCCTATGTGGATTTTGATAGTTCTCTATAACAGAATAAATTTTTCAAGAACATTTTGGATCCTCTGGGATACAATTCCTAACTAAAACCAGACTGCATACTAAATTGCATTGTCTTCTGGACCTAAGTCAAACAGACTTTCTTTTTACAACTATCAGGCAAAAAACAAAATAGTCATTCTCTAGGATATTAGAGCAATGCCAGTGTGGTGTAGTGGACAGAATGTCAGACCAGAACTCAGGAGACCTGGGTTCAGATGCCTACTCAAGTCATGGAAGCACACAAGGTGTGAGTGTGGTAGTGCTAAATCACTCCCTGAACACATTACATACTTCAAAAAAAAATCATACTAGTGTCACAAACGACTGAAAATGACTTGACAGTACACAACAACAACAAAATGACATCATATACCAAGGAGTTCCATAATTTCCAATGGTCTGAGATTTTATTTTTCTTCATTATGGAAACAAACACTTTTGATGCTACAAAACCTTTATACAATTACTTCTGCTTTCTAGAAAAGTTTTCTTATTCCATAAAGCAACCCAACATTTCTTAGTTTCAACAGTAACTTTAAAGAGCAGAGATACTTATTTTTGAAATGAGACCCCCATGTATCAAGGGCTGGGGAGGGTTCTCAGGTCAGATTCCTACCACCTCAAATAGAACAAAGTTCAAGCTACAGAACTGGAAATAATGTCCATCTGAGACCTTGGAATCCTAGTCTCAGAGTACACAATAATGAGGTAGAAGAATTTATGGTTTTACTCAATACAGAGTAGCTTCATATATGCATTAAAACCAAAACACTGAAAGAAAGGTTACATTGTTTGGGTAATTTCAGTGTTCCATGCCACTGTCACTCAACAACAGAAAAGGCCTAGTATGGAACACATACAGTGGGGTCTCTACTTAAGAACTTAATCCGTATTGGAAGGTGGTTCTCAAGTTGAAAAGTTCTTATGTTGAATCTGCATTTCCCATAGGAATGCATTGAAAACCATTTAATCCGTATCTGCTCTTTTCTGTCCATAGAAACTACAGTGGAACCTCTACTTAAGAACTTAATCCGTTTTGGAATGGTGTTCTTAAGTTGAAACGTTCTTAAGTTGAAGCAAAATTTCCCATAGGAACGGACTGAAAACCAATTAATCCATTCTGGCTGTTTTTTTGTTATGTAGAGGTGCGTTCGTACATTGAAGCATTAGTTCCCATAGGAACTAATGCAAAGCTGGTTAATACGTACTCTACCACTAGGGGGAGAATTTTTTTTTAACCTAAGATGACCTAAGGTTAAAAAAAAAAGGAAAGGTTTTTTTTCCTGTTCTTATCTTGGATTTCTGTTCTCAAGTAGAAGCAAAATTTAGCAAATGGAGCTGTTCTTAAGTTGGATCGTTCTTAAGTAGGGACATTCTTAAGTAGAGACCCCACTGTACTGTATATTCAAATGCCAAGGTTGCAGGACTTTTCATACAAAGTTTAGCTGGTGGCTTGAGAGCTAAACAAAGCCCTAATTCAGACAATTGAACTACATGCTCTCAATAGCATTTGATCATGCTCACTGATCAAACTAAAAAGCAGAGATTCCTCTAAAGTTCTTAACAGATTAATACTCCAAGCATCAAGATCATAGAGGGTGTGCTCTTTCATTTTTTTGCACTGCAGTTCCCAGAATTCCCTAACATCACACTAGGTAGAATTCTGGGAGCTGCAGCCCACAAAACCAATCTGCAGACCTCTAGATTTTGCCCCTCTATAGAAAGGCTCTCAGGTTATTTATCTCTGATGCTGCCATACTCCCACCATCCCAAAAGAAAGATCTATGGTGCTTCCTGGGAGTCCTAGTTCTTCAAGAGGCACTCTGTAGAGCTTAACAGGCAGTGAGACTACAACACTCACTTTCACAAAGGACTGGCTTCTGCTCGTTGGGCAACCATTCCTGCAGTCATGTTTACCAACTAGTAAGGACCAGACCCTCCAGAGTGCAGAAGACTTTGAAAATCATAGTCCTACTTCCTATTAGGTTTTATAGAGGGTGTATCCTGAAGAACTATGATTCCTAGGAAGCCTAATGGGAGCCTTGTTTCAGGATGATGAGCATAAATAACTCAAAAACCTTTCTGTAGAAAAGGGGTGAAATCCAGATATCTGCAGAACTGTGTTTGTGGACTCCCAGATTTCTGCTTGAGCACTTCTTACAGACCTCAGGGTGGTAGTGTTGCAGTCCAAAAACATAGGTATAGAAAATCAATCAGGGATGTCAACTTGTACTGTCAAGCTTGATGCAGAGAACCCACTTTTGAAGCAGTCGTTTCTTATTTATTCCACTGAATGAACACCCACACCCACGAGGCAGGCTTGAAGAGAAAACCATGCCTCTATCTAAGTAGTCTGGTTTATACAAGAGGTAGAAGAGACAGAGTAAAATCCTGAAGTGAGATTTAATGGTTACATTTCCAACAGGGGGAAATTACTGACGTAGGGAAAACAAATACTGTAAGGTAGCTCTTTTCTCTCTTTCTTCTCCAGATATTCAATGCCAGTAACCTATGCTGAAAAACAAATTCTATGGTATTTTTACTCTCCCATTCTTCTTTAGTATCTAGACAAATTACATAAACCCACTGCATGGAAGAAATCATATACTTACATAACTGGATCAAACATATTGCGGATCTTTAAGCATGGTGTCAAGCTATTTGGTGGAGAATTTCTTCTGTCCAGATGAAATGCTACCAAGGAAAAAGATATGAATGTCTGATTCACAAATAAACATCACCATGGGCCAAATATTCTAATATTAATCTTTTTTCTGCAGGCAACTCAAATTGCAAAGACATGTTTCACACATCCTGCAACAAATATTTACAGGAATGTGTCAACCTGTTGAACTTTAACACCATTTCTATTATAATACATGTCTATGTGTACGCTGCTCCTAAATGTGGCTATAGAAACTGGCATTCTGAAGTTGCCATTATTTGACAAATATAAGTGAATAATATGCAAAAATCTTTGCTATGTACACAACTAAGTTTTCACTTACGCTATCAGAAAGCATTACAGTGTATATAAGGAAACTCTCCTCTGTATTATGGCATATTGCTCCTACATGGCTGCAGTAATCAGTAACTTCTCTCACTTAGCTCGGCAAGAAAGTAAGCAATTTCATTATAGCAATACCAGCATATATTAGAAACAAAGTTACACTAAATGTTACTTAGCTATATGACAAATACAATATTTTTGCTTGGAATATGAGCCCATCGTACTCTTAAAAAACCTCTTAATTCTACTGCACAGAAAGGACATCATAAAGTACTAAAAAAGCTGGGAAAACAGAATTTAGAAGGATATAAGTAGCAGGCACATAAAAGATTCTATGGTCCTCTCCAATGCTCTAACACAGTAGTTCCCAAACTTGGGTAACCCAAATGTTCTTGGACTGCAGCTCCCAGAAACCACAGCCATCACAACTGGTGGTGAAGGCTTCTGGGAATTGCAATCCAAAAACACCAGGTCACCTAAAACTTGGGATAACTGCTCTGGTGTAACACATATGAGATACCTATTTTATATGAGACTGGAACAGAGGTTACCACACATAATTTGAGTCTTAGATGCCTACATTTGCTGAAAATTCAATAAGCATAAGTAGTGTTCAGGTGAAATTACTTTACACTTAAAATTACAAAAATTCAAAACTGTCTGAAGAATATATTGTTTATATATATTTTTATATATTTATTGTTCTGAGAAAGAAAATTTGTATACCAATAGTACTGGTGAGATATTTTACAAAGTCATTCTGTCCTTTTATTCTGTCACTGTCAACAGTCACAGTTCCTATAGTTAGCAATTATAGCTGCTACTTTTTCTAAGGCTCAGTTAATTGTCAGGAAAGAATGAATTTGAAGGAGCTTCATGGACAACTAAAGCACTGTAGGTATGGAGACCAAATAGGCGGGGTAAAACTGCAATCAATCAATCAATCAATACTTTCTGCTCGACGCAAAGTTTGTTGTTTCCATCTGAGTAGCTAGTGTAAGACAAGTACAAGCAAATGCATGGGAAGTCAATCACTAAGGTAAAGGGTAGGCAAACTGCAACTCTCCAGATGTGCAACTCCCATCTTTGCTACCCAGCATAGCCAGTAGTTAGGAATGCCAGATGTTGCAGTACAATAACATCCAGATGGTCATCTTATCATATCCCAGTGCTATTAACTATTACAATCAAAGATACAGACCTTTTTATAACACAATGAGCAACAAAGACTTTAAGAAAGCTTTAATACTCAAATGACCCAAGAAATTGGAAATGAAATCAGTTTTCAGAATTATTATTTACCAGGAATTATAGAAATATTATTTGACAAAGATTTGTCTATGTACTATAAACTTCAACTGTCGGTGATAGATACGGTTCAATGAGAGTTAAATAACTTTTTTTCAACATGTTAAAGCTGGCATATTTCATAAAATATAAACTGTGCATACCTTGCCCTTGCCATACTTTAGATGGTATGACTAACTTTTTATCACATGATGCAGATGGCTGTACCCATCTCCAAACCAGGAAGTCAGCACCACCTATTCTTTGAGTTTCTGTGCGAACTCTAGATTCATTAGCAGCAAGGAAGTCAACAGCTCTATTCCATACTTTCTTCATTTTTTTCCTTAAATATAAAGGAACATTTCAGTTAGAAGACTTATTTAATCAAAACCGCCTACTCAATTTCCAAAGAGTAATAAAAGTTTTGTACTTCAGTATGAAGACTGAAAATCAAAAACACAATTTTCAGATCATCAATATACTTGATTCAAAAATAACTATTTGTACATACCTGTCTTCTGGTGGAATCAAAGAATCTCGAACATGGGGAATAGGCATATATGGCTGCAGGTCTTTATTTTCTTGGCATGCTTCACTGTGAGTTCTTAAAACATCTGAAAGCATTGCATGAAGTTACTATATTGCAAATCAAGCTGGAATCAGGGACATTTAGAAATCCAGTGAAAATTAGGTAAGGACAGTACAACTGATGGCAATTTCTCTGAGTAGAGCCAAAAACGCACTCTTGATAACCAGACCTATCTGAGTGCATACTATCTCTGTGTAACAGGTCATGTTGGTAAGACATTCCTTTCATTCATATGTAATGCTAGACTATGGCTTAGCATTATATGCATATAATCTGGGGCCATGAGCCTCCTCTTTCCTCACACAAAACAAACCATAAGCTTTCACACTACTTTTTAATTAACTACTTTTTCATTATGTCCACACCCAGACGAATTGTGAACAGTTTTAACTGTAGTTTACTGAAAGTAACCGAGGCCTATTTGTGGTTTATGAAAATGACCCATTTTGCTAAACCACAGGTAGAGTTAGGCAAGACTCTTTTATTACTGCAGGTTCCTCCCGCTAAATATATTTCTTCCAAAAGAGGGGGGGGGATCCTGGCTCCAGAAGCCCCAAGGGCACAATACTAATCTAAAACTACACTGCACTTGTAGCTGCCCCTCCCCCAACACCTTCTGAAACTCCTTTGAGAATCCAGAAGTGACTTCCCATTTGCTGGAAGTGGCTGGTGTGAATTGGGGAAGAGGGCTGGAAAACAGCCCTGAGACCTTCTGGGCCTGCCTACTGTGCTCTAAACCATATTTATGATTAGCCGGTTTAGACATCACTTGTAACAACAATGTGCAGTCAATTGAAAATAGAAGCAAAAAATTAACATCTGCCTACAGTCATACAAAAAAAGAAGTGAAACCAGGTCATCATATACTTAGAGCACAGTTAGCACTTACCTATGATCTTTACAACCATATCATACATCTGTCTGGTCTGTTCTTCCTCCTTAGACCACCGATATTTCATATACCTTAAGACTGCCCAAACCATCCCTACACCTGTATGAAACAGAATAATTTAACAATCCAAATTTTACCAGATTACTGGCTTTGCTTTGAAAATGCAAATATTTTACATCAAAAAAACCAATAAATCTAATCTGGTTAAAGATATTTCAGAGGAATGGAAATAAATATTAGGTGGCATCACTGAATACGTGTTTAGCAAAATATTCAGTATTTATATATTGAGCATTTTAAGTATTTTAATCCTAGGTTTTGATTGATAAATTTTAATTAAAGTATGTATATAGTTATTTATATAAATTTAAGTGCATGCATAGCAGCCTTCTGCCAACCTTGTGCTTCCATATATTCTGATCTGCAACTTGGCAGAGCTGTGGCTTGCCTTGAGTGCTTTTAGGTAGAAGGCAGAGCATAAATTTACTAAAGAAAAGAAGAAAAAACTTAAAACTTCCATCAATCTCAACTATTGTTGTCAATGGTGAGGGATCGCAGGAGTTGCTCCAAAACAACTGGAAGGTACCAGGTTGGGGAAGGTTTTTTTTTACTAAGCACTGGAGAGGTACATCACTGAGCCATCTCCATATAAAGGAAAGATACAGACTTTTTTTTCATTAACATTTTGGTATTAGTAACCACATACCCTATTCCATTCTAGAAATGTCACTAATTTCCTCTTATTTCAGATGTCAATTAATTACAAAATATATTACATTACTTTAAATGCTTACTGCCAAATTAACTTCCCTAGTTTCCCTTATAGCTAAAAATATATAAACAGGCTTTCGTTGGGGTGGGGTGGAACTCACCTAAAAGTAGAAATACTGATCTACATGTCACAATAATAAATGCACGACGAAAACGACATGTAAAAGACATCTGTGGCCTAGTCGATACTAGGTATTTTACATCACTTATATTGGCTATAGATTCCTCATCCAAACTGCGGCCAACACACCTATCAAAAAAAAGAAGAAGATAGCCCAATATTTTCATGACAACTGTGGCTTAAATCAGTGGTTCTTAACCTTTGTTACTCGGATGCTTTTGAACTGCAACTCCCAGAAACCCCAGTCAGGACAGCTGGTGGTGAAGGCTTCTGGGAGTTGCAGTCCAAAACTCCTGAGTAACCCAAGGTTAAGAACCAGTGGCTTAGACCATGAAAAAGGCAAATACTATTCATTAGTCCACTTCTTCCTCCCCCTTATCTGTGGCTACCTCCTTCTCTTGGTCCAGCACTAACTACTGTACACTGTGCTATGACTTCAAAGACAACAGTAATTATGCTTAGCACTTCCCCTCCAAACTGAACAGAAAAGAGACTGAAGTAAATCCTAAGTTGTGGTCTAGTAAGCAAGTGAAGAAATTCCAGCATCACAGCAGACTATCTCACAGTACCACACCCCATTTTTAATAATGGAGGTGAAATCCATGACAAAGGGGACACAAAAGCCACAAGTTAAACCAAAGCATTTTGAAATTTCTCTTTGAAGGATTGTTCAAATTAAGATTCTGTAGACTATGAAATAAAATGACTTACTTTATACCAACATCTTCTCCACTATTTAGAATCCATTGCAGAGAGTCATTAAGTATGTTTTCATATTCTGGACCTAAACTCTTATAAGAAGAAAACAAAGTAAACACAGAGCCAACTAAGAGTTCCACTCAAAACTGAAAAGCTCAGTATTAGCAGGTTATAAAAAATAATTCCCAAATAATAAATGCTATAAAAATGTCACTAACAACATTCTAATAAAATGTGTTAATGTTCACTAAACTCTCCAATATTTTTATCAATACTTCCCTAACCTCTAATTGCTCTCAGAACATAAAAGATTGCCTATTCAGATTTTGCTGTCTATTGCAGAGCCTTTGTATTAAATAGAATGAAATACTTATTTGAACCTTTCTTACAAAAATGTTAGATAGTACATTATATTTGTGAAGGCTCTGCCATTAGATAATTACTTTGTATGTTCATTCTACCTGGCAGTTTCCTCATGGGGCTGGAGACAATAAGTTACTGGTCTGGCTTGGAGCACATCCTTTCTCCTTTCTCCACTTCTAAAAGTGTTTGCCCTTTCTTATTAAAAAAAACCCTGTAGAGTTACTTCCAGCTTTGTAGTCAAAAACCATTCATTAGTTTGTATTCCAGTACAAAAGGCATCTAAAGATGAATTTCCTATCCTACAACTGAAGTGTCATAAAGATTACATTATGCTAAGCATAATATGGCCAGTAACAAGGATAATGAGCACACATTTCTAATGTTACAATTCAAGAGCTACTGCTACAGTTATTTAAAAAGCTGTTCATCAACATCTCAAATGCATACACTCTACAATTAGTAAATAAGTGATAATGCAAAAATTGGGACAACAAAGTCTGCCAGATCCAGGTTTTTATTAGATTAAACAAATTACATGAGGAGAAATTGTCTCTGATTTGTTGCTCTCTCCTGAACCCTACTTATACAAAGTAACAGTTTTCAATCTTGTAATGAAAACAACATTTAAATTATCATATTGTAGGTAAGAGAGAACACCTATATATGAATGTATCAATAAAACACAACATTCTCATATGTGTTGTTTAGTCGTTTAGTCGTGTCCAACTCTTCGTGACCCCATGGACCAGAGCACGCCAGGCCCTCCTATCTTCCACTGCCTCCCGGAGCTGGGCCAAATTCATATTGGTCGCTTCGATGACACTGTCCAACCATCTCATCCTCTGTCGTCCTCTTCTCTCTTGCCCTCACACTTTCCTAACATCAGGGTCTTTTCCAGGGAG